AGCCTGCTGCAGTGAACCCCGCCCACAACCCCAAACAAGGTAAAACAGGAAACGATTAAAAACCGTGCAGAGTCCAACAGCCGAGGCTTTAGTCTGACGCTCAAACTCAGAGCTTCAGATGTTTCTGGAGTAAAGTCGAGTTCTGAGCCACGTCACCGCGGCAACTGCTCCAAGTGAAGCTCATGGAGGCCAGCAGCTGCAGCTGTGTCCATTTACAGTCATTGAGTCCTCGGTTTTCCCTGACCTCTGACCTCTGACCCCGTGTCTTTTTTTCCAGATGGAGCTTCGCCGGAGCAGGTCTCGACCAATCAGAGCGAGCCATCGGCGCCGCCACAGGAGGCGCTGGAGAGCAGCAGCACAGAGAGACAGAACAGCGGAGCAAAGGTACCAGGATGTGTCATTACGACAGAGACCGTCGCCGCGGCAACCGTCAGTAACAGACAGCTGCGGCGGCCATGTTGTGACTGTAGTGTCCTGCTCAAAGGAACAAGGACAAGACGTTTAATGAACATTTAAAATATTTATTTATGTTCTTACTTCATGTGAAAAGAAACATGAAAAACAAACTGGATAATAAATAATTTAACACGAATAATCATGAAGTAAACGGAAAAACTGATCCAGGTTCACTTTTCTCCTTCAGACAAAAACAGAGCTCTGCAGGAGCACAAGTACTCGAGTACAAGTACACCAGTACAAATACTCGATTACAGATACACCAGAACAAATACTCGAGTACAAATACTTGAGTACACGTCCTTTTACAGTCCTGTGGTTCTGATCTCTTGTGTGTTTTCAGTCGGAAAGCGCCGACGATGACGATAATCACAGCAACAAAAGTCTGGACCTGAACTTCGGACGCAAACTCATCGACTTTAAGCTCAGTGCTGCCCCCAGTGGCCCCTCCCAGGACGAGCAGCAGCCCCCCGCCAACGCCGCCGCCAACGCCGCCGCCAACACCACTAACCCGGACTCGGGCTCGTCCAAAGAGCTCAAACACGTCTGCCGCGTCTGCCACAAGAGTTTCCGCTACAGCGCCACCTTAACCCGCCACGAGAAAGCCCACGCCAACGAAGAAACGACGAGCGCGACGGAGGAGAGGGAGCGAGAGAGCGAGAAGACGGAGGAGCGGACGGAAGAGGAGGAGGACGAGCGCGAGGAAGAGGAGGAGAAGATGTCGGAGAGCGCGTCAGAGCGAGAGGAGCGCGGCGAGAGCGAGCTGGAGAGCGCTGACTCCGAGTCCGAGGAGCGAGCGAGACGACGGACGCAGCGACGACGACAGCGGCTCCGAGGGGCGGGGCCAGGCCGGCGACGAGGGGCGGGGCCAGGCCAGAGGAGAGGGGCGGGGCCAGAGCGGAGCCAACAGTCGAGTCGACAAACGCAAAAAAATCTGCAACGTCTGCGGGAAAAAGTTACTGGTACACAGTACTGCAGGACAGTACACATGTACCCGGTACACATGTACTACAGGTACATGTACTACAGTACACATGTACTTATACTACAGTACACATGTACTTATACTACAGTACACATGTACTTATACTACAGTACACATGTACTTATACTACAGTACACATGTACTTGTACTACACACAAACACAGGTACTACAGTACACATATACTTATACTACAGTATACGTGTATTTATACTACACAGGTTTAAATATTTAGATCCTTATTCTTGTTACTCTGAAAGTGAGAGAGGCTCAGGTCCTGAGGTGTTTGAACTCAAATGTGGAGAACCTGGAGAACCTGGAGAACCTGGAGAACCTGGAGAACGTGGAGAACGTGCTGGTCTTTGTCACGCACCTGTTTGACCTGGTTTATGGTTCTTGTGTTTCTCATGTTCCCTGTGTTCCTCAGGAGAACGTCCGTACCAGTGCTCCACCTGTGAGAGGACCTTCACTCTGAAGCACAGTCTGGTCCGACACCAGAGGATCCACCTGAAGCCCAGAACCACCGACGAGACGGAACACGGCGAGGAACACGGCGAGGAACACGGCGAGGAACACGGCGAGGAACCTGGAAACAACCAGGAACCAAACCCGGAGAACCACGAAGAACCCAACGAGGAGCCCAGATCTGCTGAGGAGACCAGCGAGGAGGGGGACTCGTGCACGCCCCAGGCCACGTGCACACTCGCAGAGAAGAAAGGAGAAGATCAGGAGGAAGAAGAAGAACCGAGCACAGACCGAGAGCAGGAGTCCGAGAAACCTGCTCCAGAAATGAAGCAAAAAACATCTGGAAATGTGGAGGAAACTTTGGAAAACTCTGAAAAAAGTTTGGAAAAAGGATCTGAAATCCCAAACACAAAAGCGGCCGAGGAGAAACCAGAAGAAGCCTGCAGTGAGACCAGGTCTGCAGAAGCTCCAGAGGCTCCAGAGGCTCCAGAGGCTCCAGAGGCTCCAGAGGCTCCAGAGACGGGGGGCGGCGCGGCTCACGGGGCCCAGGAGGAGAGCTCCGAGTCTGGGCAGACGCGGCCGCAGCAGACCCCCCCCCCGGAGCCGTCGGGGGGGCGACAGTGACTCGTCACTACTCCTTTTAGAATCGACAAAAACACGAACGATTCTGGAACGAAACGGACCTAAAGAAACCAAAGCCGAGAAGAAGCTTCGAATCTGAGTTTGTGTTTAGACTTTTAGAGTTTTGAATTTACCAAACGTGTTTCTCATCTGAAATATGAAATTTAAAGCTGCATTTTCTGGTCCGTGGAGATGTTGTCGCTTTGTCTGGAATGTTCCGCAGTGCGGCAGTAAACCTTCCTATCGTCACGGAGACCAAACCAGACCAAGTTCCAGGTCAGATCTGTGGAGAGGCGACGCCGCTCTCCGGTTTTCTACGTCGTCTTGAGCAATAAAACCACCTGGAATCGAATAAACGTTTAATGTGACACTGTGGAACATTCCAGACAGAGCAGCGACGTCTCCGTAGAAACGGCACGACAGAAAAGTGACACAGTGCAGCTTTATTATTATTATTATTATTATGATTATGCAAAACGTCGCCCTGTTTGTTTTTCCTGTGAGAATCAGATTTAAGTCAAAGAATCGACCAAATGAAAAACCACTTTGCACTTTTGCGTCGGTTTAAAAAGAAAAAAAAAAAAAAAGTGGTGCTGTTTTTCGACACGACGACTTTATGAAATCTCAGTGTGAGTTTTTGGAGGATTTTGGACACGTCCGTGACAAAAGCACAAGGAGATGAAGCTCGTGTTTCTCCCGTAAATGAAATGAAATAAAATAAAGACGTTTTAAAGGGAGTAGTGACGAGGCTTTTGTGCCAAACGGAAACGTCTCTGCGGGAAAAAACAAACAAACAAAAAAACGTCTCTGATTTGACTTTGGACTCATTTCTTGAAGTGCCTTAAACTACTACAGCGACGCAGCGTTTTTATAGCTTTTATCATCATTCTTTTTGTGTGGGGACTTTGAATTTTCAGCAATAAATGATTTAAATAATTCTTGTTCTAGGATATTTTTTTTGAGAATTTTTGATCGATATTTCAACAGAAACTCGGAGTGATTCTATTTAAACGGAGGACGGAGTATTTCTTCACCAGCACGAGGACTTTTCATAACTGGAAACCGCCGCGGGAAACGTCGAGACTTTGGGGACGTTTTGGGGACGTTTGAGTCGCAAACGCCGGCTTTGTTTTGTTTTGTTTTTTTCGCTGGTTTTGGAAATGAACTCAAACTTGGAAAAAAAAAAAAAACCTATAAAAACAAATTCCAAAATGGACTGAGAAATCTTTATAATTTAGCGGATTTGTTCCTCTTTTTCCGATCATTCTGAGCTGATTTTTGTACAGGTCTGACGCTCGTAGAATCGTGTTTTGAGTTGATTTCGTGTGATGTTTTTTTTTTTTTTTTTTGGTGGCGGAAATGACGTAGTGTAACCAATTCTAAAGCGAACAAAGCGCGTGCACAAGCGTCTCGAAGTGTTCAGTTCAAATCTACAATAACATTTGATAGTGTTTTTTACCTCAGCTTTAAAATCCTTCGTCTTCCTGCTCGAGGCTAAGCTAACGTGCTAGCTGTTTGCCAAGGAGCTAACAGCGCTAACGGAGCTAACTTTTGTATTAATGATATAAATATATATATTTTATTTTATTTTTTTCTCATGGATCTATTAAATTAACTTTTTCTAACTGATTTTTCTGCACAGTTCAGACTTAAAGGGCTTTTCCTCCGAATCACGATGCCTTAACGCCGCGATCACCGACCGAACGGCGACTTCGGTTTGTCAAATCGTCAAAAAGATTTCAACAATAAAAATAAAAACAATAAAAACAATAAAACTATAGTATTTTACAGTAGTGTTCATGTAAACAGACAGTTAAGCTACACACTCTGGTCCCGGTTTAGTCCTGGTTCAGTCCATTTTTACGTTGAGACCAGGTTTAGTTTTTGTTAAATCCTGGTTTAGTTCAGTTCTTTTTTAAGGCTGAGACAGGGTTTAGTCCTGGTTTAGATCTGACTTAACCTGGTCTCAACCTAAAAAAAGGACCAAACCAGGACTTAGTTTTGTTTTAGACCTGTTTTAGTTCTGGTTAAACTTGGTTCAGTCCTACTTTAGTTTTTGTTAAATTCTGGTTTAACTGAGTCCTTTTTTTAGGCTGAAACTGGGTTTAGTCCTGGTTTAGATCTGACTTAGTCCTGGTTCAGTCCATTTTTATGTCGAGACCAGTTTTAGTTTTGTTTTAGACCTGGTTTAGTTCTGGTTAAGGCCTGGTTCAGTCCTGAATTAGACCTGGTTTAGTTCCGTTATCAGTCCTTTTTTAGCCTGAGACTGGGTTTATTTCAGGTTTTGTCCATTTTAGATTAAGTCCTGGTTTAGTCCTGGTTTAGTCCTGGTTTAGACCTGGTTTAGTCCTGGTTTAGTCCTGGTTTAGTCCTGGTTTAGTCCTGGTTTAGACCTGGTTTAGTCCTGGTTTAGACCTGGTTTAGTCCTGGTTTAGTCCTGGTTTAGACCTGGTTTAGTCCTGGTTTAGTCCTGGTTTAGTCCTGGTTTAGTCCTGGTTTAGTCCTGGTTTAGACCTGGTTTAGACCTGGTTTAGATCCTGGTTTAGACCTGGTTTAGACCTGGTTTAGTCCTGGTTTAGTTCTCGGTCATGGTGCAGTCAGTATTCGTGAGGTTTTTGCCACATTAAACCTGAAGATAATTATTTCCAGTTTGAATCAGAGCTTCCAAAAGTTTTGACAATTTAACAAACCTTAAACTTGCACCTGTCCCCCCTGCACCTGTCCTGCACCTGTCCCCTGCACCTGTCCCCCGCACCTGTCCCCCCGCACCTGTCCCCCCCCTGCACCTGTCCCCCCTGCACCTGTCCCCCCGCACCTGTCCCCCCGCACCTGTCCCCCCGCACCTGTCCCCCCGCACCTGTCCCCCGCACCCCCCGCACCTGTCCCCCCGCACCTGTCCCCCCGCACCTGTCCCCCTGCACCTGTCCCCCGCACCTGTCCCCCTGCACCTGTTCCCCCTGCACCTGTCCCCGCACCTGTCCCCCCGCACCTGTCGCACCTGTCCCGCACCTGTCCCCCGCACCTGTCCGCCCTGCACCTGTCCCCCTGCACCTGTCCCCGCACCTGTCGCCCTGCACCTGTCCCCCTGCACCTGTCCCTGCACCTGTGCCCGCACCTGTCCCCCTGCACCTGTCCCCCTGCACCTGTCGCCCTGCACCTGTCCTGTCAGTGCTGAACACATGAACCAGCACAAACTTTCTCTTCACTTTTACTCAGATCTCGTCGTATTTTTACAGAATCATCGTCGTCGTCGTTTCAAATATCTTCAGTTTTTTTTTTTTTTTTGTTGTTGTTTTTTTCGCGTTTGCGACAATCACGTTTTACGAACATTTAACTTTAACTTTAACTTCAGTGTGAATCAACGAGGGCAAAACGTGAAACTGTGAAACCAGATCTGAAACGTTTGAGCCGAGAGGCTTTGGAAGAACGAAAATTTAAAAAAGTTTACCTCAAATTACAACGACTACAAATACTACGACTATGACTATGACTACTACGATTACTACAACTACTACGACTACTACGACTACGATTACTACAACTACTACGACGACTACTACGATTACTACAACTACTACGACTACGATTACTACTACTACGACTACGACTACTACTACGATTACTACAACTACTACGACTATTACTACGACTACGACTACTACTACGACTACTACTACTACTACGACTACGACTACGATTACTACAACTACTACGAACTACGACTACGACTACGACTACGACTACTACGACTACGATTACTACAACTACTACGACAACTACGACTACGATTACTACAACTACTACGATTACTACAACTACTACGACGACTACGACTACGATTACTACAACTACTACGACTACTACGCTACGACTACGATTACTACAACTACTATGACAACTACGACTACGATTACTACAACTACTACGATGACAACTACAGCTACTACTACGATTACTACAACTACTATGACGACTACGACTACTACAACTACTACAACTACTACGACTTGTACTTACTACAACTAGGACGACTACTACGACTACAACTACAAATACTGCTACAACTACTACTACGACTACTACTACGACTACTATTACTACAAGGACGACTATGACTACTACTACTACTACTACAACAACAACAACAAACTACAACTACTACAACTACTACAACTACTACGACTAAACTACTACTACTACTACTACTACTATGACTACTACTACGACTACTATTACTACAAGGACGAGTATGACTACTACTACTACTACTACGACAACAACAAATACTACAACTACTACCACGACTTCTATGACGACTACTACTACGACTACTACTACTAGTACTATGACTACAACTACTTCTATGACTACTTTTGCCACTACTACTACTAGTATACGACTTGTACTACAACTATAACTACTACTACTGTGACTACTTATGCTACTACTACTACTACTACTACTACTACTACTACTACTACTACTACTGTGACTTTTATTTGCCTCAAACTTAAAGCCGCACTGTGTAACATTTCCTCTCCGTCTGCCCCTGTGGAAAGTTAAAGCCATATTTGGGAACATTGTCCGTGGAGCCGTCAGTCAAACAAAGCAATAACGTCTCCACGGAAACCAGACCAGACCAGACCTGCCCCCCCCCCCGACCGTCACGAGTCGGGTCTGTGGGGAGGCGAGCGCAGGAAAACACACACGTTTGTCAAAGTTAAAGCATTTCTGTGCAATAAAAACACATCATTTACATTTTATCTGGGCAGAAATGTTACGTAGTGCTGCTTTACGTTTAAAATATCAGTTTGTAATTTATAAAAAAAACAAACAAAACATATCTTGGTTTCAAAATCCCTTCGTTTGTTCAAACTTTATCAGATCAAAAGTTCACAAACGCCTTTTTTCCTCTCGAAACCCGCGCCGGTCCTCGTTAGCCTATTAGCACGTTAGCGTATTAGCGTGTTAGCAT